TGGCCATCAAGCGGGCCGACCCGTCGCCGGGCCGGAGCGCGCGCGAGTTCCGGGCGGAGATCGAGGCGCTGTCCAACCTGCGACACCGGCACCTCGTCCCGCTCCTCGGCTTCTGCTCGGACAGGGAGGAGACCATCCTCGTGTACCGGTACATGCCGCGCGGCACGCTGCGGGAGCACCTGCGCGGCGAAAGCGGCAAGCCGGTGATGCCGTGGTGGCGCCGCCTCGACGCGTGCATGGGCGCCGCGCGGGGCCTGCACTGCCTGCACGCCGGCGGCGTCGTCCACGGCGACGTCAAGGCCACCACCGTCCTCCTCGACGAGAACTGGGTCGCCAAGCTCTCGGACTTCGGCCTCTCCAACTCCAAGCACGCCACGATGAAGTCCGACGTCTACTCCTTAGGCGTCGTGCTCTTCGAGGCGCTCATGGCGCGGCCGGCGCTGCCGCCAGGGGACCAGGCCGTCGGCCTCGCCGAACACGGGCTGGAATGCCACCGGAACGGCACCCTGCCGGACGCCGTCGACGCGGTGATCAAGGACCAGGTCGCGCCGGAATGCCTTGAGAAGTTCGCTGAGACGGCCGTGGAGTGTCTTGCGCACGAAGGCACGGAGCGGCCGGCCATGGGCGACGTGCTATGGAACCTAGAGTTGTCGATGCAGCTGCAGCTGATTAATCACAAGAGGACGTGACAAGGAGCCGTATTGGTGTACAACAAAATCAAATGTTCGTCGTGTCGTGGTTTTGGTGCTATAGCAGCACAGCTAGGTATGCCCACCATAGTTCACGCCTAGAAGAGCTCTCAGATGAAAATTGTAAATCATTGCAGTGCGATGGTTCAGGTTTTTGGGTTAAAGATGATGCATATGAAAGAAAAAGGAAAAGATGTAGCAGCACAACACATGAACTTATTTGAGCAATGCCATGAACTTTTTCAGCCCTAAGAGCATCTCTAGCAGACCCCTATCGCGCGGACCTTTAAAGTGAGTATATGGGCCACGGAAACCGTGTTTTGAGGACTGGCACGGGTTGCGACCGAACAGACCCTGCAAGGTCGAACAGTAAAACAGAATATTTTGCAGCCCACGTCAGCCCTCAATCAGAAAAAACAAATTAGACAATTTGACCGCAATTTCGATAAATGGCTACACATTCGAACAATCAAACATAGTTTGCACGGAAATTAGTTTTCATCCATGACCCAAAAGAACTCATACAAAATCCATCGATCAAGGCTTGATCAATGTCGACGGCGTTGTCGTTCAACATGTGCACAAACTCGGCAGTCACATCATGCAAACCTGCGCTATAATTTTGCTTCACAAGTCAAGAACAATCACAATGGCGAAAAGTGAAAACAACTAAAAGAAAATCAAAGTTTCATACCTTGCGCCCATTATGTCGGACACCTCGGCGGCCGCGGCGACAGCGGCAGCGGCAGCGGCGGGCGTCCTTGGGGAAGCTCGTGCGGTGGCGACCGGAGGAGGTGGTGGCGCAGTTCTCACAGTACCTTTTTTGGCCGCCTTCAGTTTCACCCCCGCCACCTTGTGCATCTTCACTAGCGGGATGGGGACGGCCTGGACCGGATTCGCAATGGCGGCGACGGCTGCGGGAGCGACGGTCTGGACGACGAAGTTGCCCTAGCGCTTGCGGGGATGGGCGGTGGAGGCTTGAACGGCGACGGGCGCGACACAGTTGGCGACGAGATCTGCTTGAGGGGTTGGCGCGTCCATGACTTCTACGGTGATGGGCGACGACTGGGAGGCGTCCATGGTGGCGGTACAGTGCCGCGGAAGGTGGTCTGAAGCAAGTGGAGGAAGATCAATGGCGACAGAGGGAAGGGAGAGCGGGAACTGCCACGTGGAGATGTCCCTCCCGCCAAATCTCGCTAGCTATAGGGGTCACCCTCGGGTCGGCCTCCCACCCCGTGTTTCTGAAGGTTGATGGGTAGAATTTGCCGCGCCCCGCAAAAAAATTTAAAGGCCGCGGTCCGATACGGTATCTGTTCGGGCCACTTTTTCGTGCAAAACTGTAAACTGGCAGTTATTTTGCAGTTCGGCACGATATAAGGGGTCTACTAGAGATGCTCTAACTTATTTGAGCCACTTGAACTTGTCATAAAACAATAACCATCCGGACAACAGCTACAAGCTCTTGATACCAGATGCATACCTACATCGGTAACCCTGGTCTTTGAGGAGATCTCGTCGGCATGAACTGCTCAACACATGATGTAGAGCAAAGTGATCTTAAAGATACATGCCATCCATTTACCTTGCCATGAGCATGGGATTTCATGATGGGTCTATGGACACTTTTCTGATCTTGTGACGCTTGGTCTTCGGTGTGTCTCAAGGGAGAAACAAACTTACTGGTGCCAATGTTTGAGGAAAGTTTGCAGGGAAACGGGTAAAAAGTGTTTATCTATGCAAGAAAAGGCCATTGAACCCGATAAGGCTCCTGAGAGAGAAAATGTATTTCGGGGGGAGCGTTTTGGCTCCCGGGAGCACTTGCTCCCGGATGAACAATACCTCAAAAAAGTGGTAAATGTTTTAGTAAAAAAGTTCTGGATTTTTTTGTGGATGTTCGTGTTAGTGTCGTAAGCAGGCTTAACAATTTTCGTGCAAAACGGAGCAGTGGTGTTTCGTCAGTGAAAAACAATTTTTAGGTAACATTTGGTGTTCAAATATTATTATTTTTGCACATGCCAAAATGTTTACCTGTTTGCCTAAAACTTTGAGGTAGCATTTGGATGTACCTATGAATACATAAAAAAAAATTGGGATTTTTTTGACATTTAAAAAAATCATTTTTCACGCGTGAGCCAAATTGGATTTCGGGAAAAAGTCCTTTCATTCTCCCCAAAAGAAGGCGATCAAGTTTGAGAAGGAAGGGAAAAACTCACTCACTAGACGAAAGAAGAGCTCCATTCGATTTCTATATTGTCGTTGTGTGTTGAGGGGATAAGTTCTCCCATGCTTCTGATGCGAAAGCAGAGGCCCTATTCGATTTCTGTATCATCGGCGTGTCATGAGAGGATAGCATGCACTGAAGTTTTATAGGTTCACATGTTAACATACAGTACGTCCAAGATTTCTCTTTTATAGCTCTTTTTTTTGGCGGCGCTACGGCGGACTAACGCCGGCCTGAACCATTTCATTGATAATAGAGTACATTTACAAGGCAAGGGAGGGGGGGGGTGAGAGTACAAATCAATTAAGCTACAACCCCATAGATAAGTGGAACAACATGGTACTCCAATCTCGAAGAAGGTACTGAACTTTCTCATTGGAGCATCTATCGGACCAAAGCATGAGGTCGTTGGCAGCCGAGCGGGCTACGAGGTTGATCGGTTGAAGTTCATTCCAAGAAGCTTTTGCATTTGTTCTTTTCCAAATATTCCACATAATAGCAATGATAACCGTGGAGCGAGGTTTGTTGGTCAGTCCCTGTCCCAGAGATGGTGTAGGTCCACCAGTAGCGTGGCAGTAATTGAATTCAACTCTTCCCAAAACGGACGCAGCAGGTGGCATTGAAGGAGGAGGTGAGTGATTGATTCGGTATCCGGGCAGAACGGCCAGCAGACGGAGGTTAACCCCCTTTGAAACGTCTTTTGTTGGTGAATAGCCGATTTTTGTGTGCTAGCCAAAGAAAAATTCTGCATTTGTTGGGTGAATAGTTCTTCCAAATGGCCGTTGCGAAGGGGTCAATTGGCTTGTTGATCCAAACAGTCTTGTAAGACAAGTTGCAACTCATAGGGTTGCCATCAAAACGTCCTGTTCGTTTGTCCATTACCTGCAAATTCAAGGAAACAAATGCAAGCATAGCGCGAAGGTTTTCCAATTCAAGTTCGGCGGCATGAGTAAGGCGAGGAACCAGGTCAATGTTCAAAGCAGGATAGCCTAGCACCCGTGCGACAGTGGCCGCGGGTCTGAGAGTATGAGAGAAAAGAGCAGGGGAAATTGTTGCAAGGTTTTCAGTGGATCCTTTAAACCATATATCTAGCCAGAAAGCGGTTGTCATACCATTACCGATATCCACCTTAGTCAGTGGCCGAGCTAGCGAGATATTACTGAGGGGGCAAATAGCCAAATATAATTGTGTGAAGGGGCCAAATATTGTATTTCTCTTAATTTGTGTCATCCTAAACAATGTTTCTTC